TGCCTCACGGTTTGAAGCCAGGGGAGGTGAAGATGGGAAGGTTCTTAGTAGTTAGTTTGATGTGGTTCAATGAAGGGAAATAGGAAGTTAGGCCAAAAACTCCATTGAGGTAGGTGGAACTATTTATAAGGGGGACCCTTTTAAGATTGTTCTAGGGTCTTGATCAAGTGTTTATTATGGCCTACCAAATTTGGCAACCATAACATTACATTACTCAAAGATGAAACTACAAGGGTGAGAACCATATCTATTTATGGCCAAAAAAAAAAAAAAGGGGTCTTCCTTCTAATTTCCTAAAAGTATGATCTCCCACCTTGCTCTCATTGGCAAAAAATTGAGAAGCTATTCTAAGGAGGTGGGGCAAGTGTCCACAAAAATCCTCTCCCCAAATTGAGGATTTATGTTTGTGGGACGCTCACAAAACACAATCTCTCCATTTTCATAAGTGCCATGTGATTCACTATAAAAAGCAACAAATCCTCTCCAATGGTGGAGGGACATGTGGGAACCACTAACCAAAAAAAAAATTCTCCCAACTCCTTAGGGTGCCATGTGACCATTTTCTAATAAGTCAATCTTCTCCCCAAAGGAAAGCCTGGGACACCAAATGGGACACACAACTTTCCACTTGGTTTTGGATGTCTAACTTAAGGAAAATCCTATGCTACTAACGCCATTAGTTACAAGTCTTACACAAAACTTTACACACCATGGTGAATTAAACAAAAATAAGCTAAAAAAATTTAAATTCATCACTACCTTCAATGCCATGCTTCATTGGATAAACCTCAATGGGGTCCACAAGGATAGTTGGACCACCTATTTTCAAGACGGAACTTTCACTCTTTTGGAAAAATGTGATTGGAACCATGGCCTAAGTGATTTGTTGTGTCATCAGCAAGTCTTAAGAAAAAAAAAAAAAAATTGTGGAGGCTAAGTGTAAAAAGAAAAAATTTTTTGTTTTATAGTGCCTTTGCTCTAGTTCATGTAAATTTTTTGTTTAAGTTTAAATTTTTTTGGGATGTTTTCTTCTTAAGATTTTGTTTGGGGGGGGGGGGGTTTGTGTTGAGTAAAGGATTATATATTACAAGTTAAAAAAAAAAATTTAAAAAAAAAAAAAAAACACACTCAAAAGGGACAATACATAAAAACTGGAAAAAATGAAAGTATTATAAAGTATTGAAAAGAAAAAAAAAATTGAGGGGGAAAAATAAATGGTTGGAGTGGGTGTTATACTCTCTAAATAATATACGAAAAGTTTGGCCACAAAAAAATTATTTATATAAAATAGTATATATATATATATATATATATATATATATATATATTTGGTAAACATCCCACAAAATATAGGTAAAACGTACGTATTATAAAGAGTCATTTACCGATCTAATATATAAGAGAACATTATTAAATAGAGTATAAAGTTTAAACTGACAGTTATCCAAAAACAAACCAATAAGAATTGAAAACTTTATAATTACAACCGGTTTGTTTTTTTTTTTTTTTAAACAAAAAACTATTTACAGACTAGTCTAAAAGAAAGTCTACGCCTACAAGGGTTACTCGTTCAAAGCGCCTTGCTCTAGAGAAAACCTCTATCCCTCTACTCACACCCACAAGACTTGCTTCATTGTAAAGAAAAAATAACACAACAACATAAAACAGCAAACAAAGCACAACAAACGGGTAAGTTAGATATCAAAAAAATATAAATATAAAAAAAAATACATTCAATTATGCCATATAGAACAATTACACTCAAAAACCATCCTAAAAAACACTGAGGTTATGACTAGACTTGACTGTTCGCACCTTAGAACTGATTGTCGAGGCTATGGGGGTTGTGCATTTTGTGGTGGCCCTCTACTACTTTGCAAAGCTATGCCAACGGGTTTTACCTCCTAACACAACGAATAAGGGGTTAGTCTGTTTCACGCCCCGTGGATTCATATTTTGAAAAGGAACCTAAGAACTAAGACCTCCTACCACTCTTTCACCACATGTGTCAATCCCGCTCTACTTGAGAATGAAAAACGACCATTTAGAGTTCAAGAGAACCCCCAAAAGACTGAGTTTCCTGCATTCATTCTAAACATACTTGAACCTCACCAAGAGATTCCACTTTGAAACTTACTTACATAACTTTGAAACCATTACTTGAAACCACGTACTTTAACTTTTAATCATAACACATAACTTTGATAATCATATAACCTCAAAAGTGCTTATACACCCTTCAAAATGAAATAAAACAATACTCTAACTTAACAAGAACAAAGATGAAAAGAACGAAGATGAAAAGAACAAAGCAAAGTCCTGAACTAGTCGCTCAGCGAGTTTGGTCACTGAGCGACCACAAAGTTCCCTCGTTTAGCGACCTAGCTCGCTGTGCGAATAAACTGACATTAATCAAAGAACCAACCTCTAGCTAAGCGACCCAGTTCGTTGTGTGAATAAAATGACATTAATCCAAAACTTTCAACCATTCGCCCAAAGACCCAACTTGCTAGGCGAATCCACAACAGTGGTCCAAACCTCATGACCACTCGCCAAACGACCCAACTCGCTAGGCGAATCCACATACACTGGTCCAGACCTCATGACCACTCGCCAAACGACCCAACTCGTTAGGCGAATCCACAAACAATGGTCCAGACCTCACGACCACTCACCCAACGACCCAACTCGCTAGGCAAATCCACAAACGGTGTTTTAGACCTCACGACCACTCGCTCAGCGAGTCTGTATAATTATGCAACATTAAACTTCAAAATTTGCAACATGCACCAATCTCAACCAATTTGATATAATTTTTCCAACTTCTAATCCTCCTAGATCGTGTTATATGCACAATTATGCTTAAACAATTGTGTCTAAACCATCCTAAACTCATTCTAAAGTGTTTACTAACAAGATTAAACTTCAAAATCTACCAAGCCTCAACTAATGGACCTAAATTGAATTCGACCATTTTTAGCACAATTTCAAACAACTTAGGAACTCCAACAAGTCTCATATGACTTGCCAAGACTCCCCAAACTGACCATTTGAGCCTAGAACTCCCAACTCAAGTTTTCACTAATCCACTTCCTTGAAAACTAGTTCTAAATAAAGATACATTATACCTATTCATCACCATACCTTTTTATCACAGATTACTAACATATTACACATTCAATAACAAACTAAACATCATTCCATACAGTTCACAATCATAATTCATCACTTCACACTCAAAATAGTCAAATTGAATATTATACCTCTATACTGAAACAAAAATTTAGTTCAACCAGTTCAATACTCATAGACTCTTCAAACATGCACAATTAATTACCAAATTAAAGCAAACTTTAGCTTCCCTTACCTCTTAAAACCTTCACAGTTCTATAAATCCTCGACAGTTGCTTCCTCTACAAGGAATCTCTAAAAAAACCTACAAATTACCGATTGGTGATTAGAGACCAACCTTAGAACCTCGATTGAACAAAGAATCAAGGTAGATAAACTCTCAACACATCCAAAACAGATTTCTCTTGCATGATCAAGAGTCAAGAAAATACCTAGAAAATGGATGAAAACTTACTTGCTCTAATCAATAAATTGATCGGTCAGATAGATACCATTACCGCAAGGATCACCTAGACACCTCCTGATCGTTGAATAGATGACTTAGGAATAAAAATCATAGAGAAGTGAAAGAAAACAAAGAGAAAATGTTTTATAGAGATAGACTATATTTTAGAAGATGAGACGAATTTAAAAAATTCTATTTATATTATAAAATTATTTTATACTAAAATATTCGGTCTCATTATTTTAATATACTTACCAATATTTTTTAGGTTATTATATATATATATATATATATATATAATTTAATGTAGTAAATGTTAATTATCTCATTAATTTTAATATAGTATTTAGATTTTTTTATTATAATAAAAAAAATAATAATAAATAAACTAAACTAAAATAAAAAATGTATTTAACTTTTCTCTGTAAAAATAATCTAAACAGTTTCACTTTTAATATTATTTTTTGTCAGCTCTAACTTTCAATAATGACTGACACATTATTTTTAATACATCTATAATATTTATAAGAAAAATCAAATAAAAGTTTCCATAATGAGTTTAATCAAGTAGCCCTTCAAATTCAAGATGCTTCTTTCTTCCAATTCGGGTAATTCCTTGCACGTGTGAGTGTTAGGTGATACTGTTTATATAGGTTCTGCTTTAAACTATCTACAGACGCCAAGTATCTTTCAGGTTCTTCCAACCCTAAAAGACAGACAAAATAACAGAGAAAAATAAAAGCAAACTACTTGAAAAAAGAAAAAAAGTTTGCTTCAATTTAGAAATATTATTTTTCATTCATTTATCCAACTAAAAATAAATAATAAACATATATATGACTGTTTCCAACCACATCTTAAACACCTTAAGACCCCTTCAAATTCTTTTCCATCCCAAAAAATAAACCTGCAAAGTAAATATTTTCAAATTCAATAACTCTTTAAAATATTCTTAATGATTTATATTTAATATTCATAATTTTCAATTAAAATATTTTTTTTTCTGAAAAAAGGGGTTAAATAATTATTTTACTTTGGAATTAATTCTGTGTAAAAATATGCATTATTTACATATATTTCAACACAACAAGTGATTATTAAACTCTAACACTATCCGCCCACATATTAAAAGAGTTTAATTTTCATATAGGGGTATATACCTTTTTTTACAGTATTAACTAATTAAGATATTTTGAATAACTTTATACACTATTTATTATTAAATTAAAATGACTTTACATATTAAAAAAAAACAGATGACACTTAAAAAGATGAAAGATTATTTATAATATTTAAAGGAAACGGAAATAATATAAAAATATATATTTGCTTGCCTTTTCAGTAGAAATTAACATTATCTGAATTACCGGATCGAGAATGTTCGCTCGCCTAAGACACAAGACGCAATACTAACCGTAGGATCTGTTTGATCCGTGATGATCCCTCCCTTTATATTTCACACTGTCTCGTTACCTCAGATTTCTTTTCTTCCTTTCACTGGCGACACGGCCGCCGCAAGAGACAACAACAACAGCAGCGTCAGGCACCATTCTTGTTAGTGAGTTCTCACTCTCTTCTCTAATGTTTCCTCGCTCAAATTTTCACCTTTTTTATTCAATTGTTTTGTTTTATTGTGGTTTTGATATGATTGGGGAATCAGGAGGTGAGAGGGGTCGGGTTTGATGGAGAAGGAACTGGTGGAATTGTATGACGCCGCGAAGAAGGCGGCGGACGCGGCCCTCTCCGGCGACGCTGAGCACGAGGAGAGCCGATGCATCGATGCCCTGGAACAGCTTAAGAAATTTCCCGTTAATTATAAGATTCTTGTTAACACTCAGGTCATTTTTCTCGTTTCTTCCTATTAGTTTTTGTGTCTTTTTTATGTATTTTTTTGGGTTTATTATTCAATTAGAAAATGCAGGATTGATTTGGCAATTTGAGGTGCTGTGTTTGTGTGTGTGAAACATGTGCTTGCAATGTTGTGTCATGAGACGTGGTTGCCGTCTTATAACTGTTAGGGTTTCATTGAAAACCCAATGAGACCCAATACATATCTACACCGTATAATGTTTGCTTTTTTGTGTGTTATGTGCTTTGAAATGGATTTGCATTGCTTTATCATTTGGGTTTTTTTTCGTACACTTGGTTCTGCGAATAGATTGTGGTTGAAAGAAGGAAGAAACACTATATTTCTTTGTTGCGTGTTTGGGGTAGGATGGGGTCAAATTTCTGATCAATCGTTATTGAGAAGGTTAAATGCGAAGATTAGAGTAACTTTTTTATGCATTACAGGAATTGGGTCTTGCAGTTATAAGGTGCGGCCGTGTTATAGGCATCTTTAGGTGTTAAGATTAAGTTTTCATAATGTTGGGGCTATAAAAGTTTTAGTTGTGTTCCCTCAACTAACCTCTTCAATAAAGAATTTTAGTATCGCCCTGAATTTGGGGATGAAGCTGGATTTATCAAGTGTTGTAATGTTACCCACGAGAGAATTGTTGTGGGATTTGTCGTGGATTATGGAAAGCAATTTTTATTTGTGTGTGGAAACATTGAAATTGGAAATAATATGATTTGATATTGAAATCAAACCCCTCACGATTGGAACTCATTAAAAGTATAATTTATTTTCTTTTATTATTTTTCATTTTATCCTTCAATATAATATTTCTCATTAAGGACAAGACACAACATTTTCAGTATGGTTGATGCCCTGTGATTCTCATTAAGGACAAGACACAACATTTTCAGTATGGTTGATGCCCTGTGATTCTCATTAAGGACAAGAGACAATTTTTTTAGCATTTACGAGCACAAGTTTTGATTATCAAATTAAATCAAATCACACCTATTTTATATCCCAAATCAATTATATTCATTCATTTGTCTTCTCCACTCCCTTATGCATCTATTTCGAAGGATTTTTTCAACTCCCCCTTCTCATACTTTTCCTTTTTCTCTTTGACAAATTTCAATTTATGTCTATTAATATAATTTTCTACTAGGATGGGTTTGCAGATTGGAGTGTTTTGTTTGCATGTAACAAATGGACATGTAACAAATGGGTCTTGCACGATATACACTAGTTTAGTGAATTGGTACTACACAACTCCCTTTCTACGTGTGTGGCTTCTGTGCTCTGTAGGCTTTTTGGACTAATGCTCCAGAAGATGGGCCTTGCTTTGAACTTTGTTTCTTGTTATAATTTCGTTCTGGTGGGTATTTGTGCATCCTGGCTTAGTAAATATGTACTTTCTTGATAATCAAAATCATAAGCCTGCTATCAATGTTGGAAAGCTCTATTGTAATTTAACTTTTAAATTCAAGTTCTTATTCTATCCTAAGTTGCCAGTGGAGGATCCATCGGTTCAGAGATTAAAATGGAGAAACAAGTTAGAGCTCCAAAATGAAACAAATAACTAAATCAGATAGTGCAGAAACCTAAGTATTTAGATGAACAAGATAATTTTCTAGAATATTTGTAGCATATAAAAACTTTGGAATGTTTATGGATATTACTATGTTGCTGGCTTCTGTGTTTGTGAACTTTGCATTCTGATCATGTGATGGGATGGGGATGACAGCACCTCAAGGATCAGTTTGGTATCGCTGCCTTAAGTTGGGAAGAAAAACATTAGGAACAGGTTTAGCATTTATTTTTCATTTATAGTGAATTCCTACCCTCAAAAAATATGGGAACACTAAACTGATCTCAAATCTTCTTGATTTCAAACTTAAATATGCCTTTTTTCTAATGTCATTTTTCAGGTAGGGAAACATCTTAAAATTCTCACTAAGCACCCAAGGCAGACAATTCGGGCTTTTGCTGTTGACCTAATTGAGATATGGAAAGGCATAATTATCAAGGAAACAAGCAAAAATAAAAACGGGGGTGTTGATAGTAAAGTTGAATCAGCTAATGGGGAGAGATCTAAACCTGGGAAAATGCAGAAAAGTCCTTCGGTGAAAGTTGAAAAAGGTGAAACTGTCAAGGCTGAGAGAAATGATAGGAATGGTACATCAAAGTCAGAAAGTATGAAAAAGGCACAAAATGATGTCAAGAATGAGAAAACTGATCGTGCTGCAAGTGTCAAGGTGGAAAAGTCAGCCAAGGAGGTAAAGCCATTCTCTGGAACAAAGAAATTTTCATCCAGTTCTGCAACTCCCCCAAAGCTAACAACTATGATCAAATCTAACGATGCAACGCGAGACAAAATAAGGGAACTTCTCCATGAGGCTTTGTCCAAGGTCTCTGGAGAGGCTGATGAAGATCTTGTAGAGATTGTCAATGCTTCTGATCCTATTCGAGTTGCTGTGACAGTGGAGTCTGTATTATTTGAAAAATGGGGTCCTTCAAATGGAGCGCAGAAGGTCAAGTACAGGTCCTTAATGTTTAACCTTA